TGTAGCCCAAACTGGCCTTGAACTCAGAGCAAGTCTTTCTGCCTCCTCCACCTTGACAGTGCTGGGGTTAGAGGTGTAAACTCCCCCAGGCTCTACCTTTCCAGAGTCTTCCAGACTTGTGAAGAAGGAACAACTTGGCCAACATAGACCAGTGCTTCTCAACTTGTGGGTTGGGGAACATGGGAAAACGCAGCTATTTACATTATGGTTCATAACAGAAGCAAAATTACAGTTATGGAGTAGCAAGAAAAATTATTTTGAGGTTGGGGGGTCACCATAACATGAGGAACTATATTACTGGGTTGCAGCCTTAGGAAGGTTGAGGACCACTGGGCTAGACTGTCAGAATTTAGGGCCCTTCCAGACTGGAATCTGGGTAGTCTAAGCCTCCCTTCTGCACCTTGCTGGTTTTAGGGAGGCTGTTGAAAAAGCCGGGGGGTGTAATTGTCAAGAGGGAAGCCAGGAGATTGAGGGAGAGCAGTGACAGAAATTTGGAGGAGTCAGAAACCTGAAGTGGGGGCAGGGAGACGAGATTAGCCATAGAGCCACCAGACACCAGAAGCACCGGTTTAACTAATCTCATTAGCTTCACAGTCCCAAATGGCCATGTCTCTGGTCACCCCTGCCCTTTCCTGTCACCCTCAGCTCTGAGGTCAGCTTTGAGGACCAGGATCTAGTTGGGGTGAGACTCAGGCCAAGAAGTGGGGGTGTCAGGGTGTGTGTGCTCACACGCCTAAGGAAGTGTTTGCTTCCCATCTGCTCCTCCCAGTTCCCTGCTGCATTGCTCTGGTTGTCCAGTTCTCATGAGTTCCTTGCCTCCTGCTCTTCATCCCCTATGCTCTGGAGTGGTGCTGGCTTGTCTCAAGAGACCTGGGAGTGAGGGAAAAGAGAAAAACAAAACTCAAAAAAGCAGAACAGCCTGGAAGTGTCTTGAAACTTCTTGAAGCAGAGCTAGGGGACAAGTCAGGCCTTACAGCAGGCATGGGTGGCAGGTGGCACATATATGGACTGCATGGATTGAGTGGAGCATGATCATGCCCCCAGGGCCTCCACCAGGGAGAAAGGGATTAAGGAGTCAGGGAGAGTGGGTTCTGAATCAGCCAGGACCTGCTCACCGAAGCTTTGCACACCCTCACTGCATGGCGTCTTCTGAGCATCTCTGTGTCCCTCCAGCCTTGGTACACAATGTTTCTTAGGTTTGTCAAGGGAATGATGGCTCTAGCGGCTATCTGAGAAACAGGCAGGATGAAGCGTCTCTTCTTTTTACACAATACCCCATGGCTGGGACTTAGTTGAAGCAGAAGCCCTTTTCCTTAGATGACGCTGCGAGTTTTGAGAGGTGGGGCAGGGGAGATGGCTCATTTTATGACGGCACCTTCCTCCAAGCCTGTCGACCTGAGTTCAGTCCCCAGGACCCACTCACATGGTGGAAGAAGAGAACCAATACCCACAATTTGCCCTCTGACCTCAGTATGCCTTGGCACATGGGCAGAAACATACTTAAACTCAATGAATAAGATTTAAAAAAAAAAAAAAAAGCCAGGCACAGTGGCACGCAGCTGTAATCCCAGCACTCAGGGAGGCAGAGTTCAAGGCCAGCCTGGTCTGCGAAGAGTCCAGGGTGGCCAGGCTACACAGAGAAACCCTGTCTCGAAAAACAAACAAACAAAAACCCCAGACACTATGTTGATACATGCCTCCAAAGACACCTGTGACCTGGCAGTGCACACCCTCACCCACTTCACAGATACTCGCCTATCTGTGCACAACACATACAGCAGCAAAAGTATGGTCAGGGAGCTGGGGAGATGGCTCAGCACTTGTTCCTGCAGAGAACCTGGGTTGATTTCCCAGCACTCACATGGTAGCTCGTAAGTGTCCAGAACTCTCCTTCCAGGGGTTCCCACATCTGCCTCTGCCCTCCGTGGGCACCAGGCATGCAAGTGGTGCACAGACATACATGTGAACAAAACACTCATACAGGTAAAATGAATAAATCTAAGTTTTTGGCAAATCACATATCTGTACACCTGGCTATACCTATGCACACCCATCTGGACATATGTCTGCACACTCTCACCTTTGAGTCCTATGTGTTTCTACCCCACCTCGTAGAAAGCAGCCAGCTAAGGTCCTGGTCAATGAAGATGCCCACAGAAGCTATACAGTGTTACACACACACACACACACACACACACATGTGTGCACGCACGCACACACACACTCACACTTGCAGTCTTACATGCCAAGTCCCAGGCTCCCATCACCCTCTCTCTGATCCCCACACTCCTCTCCTCTGGGAACTATGTTTCTGAGTCGTTCTCTGTAGTGTCTGTCCCTTTGGCCTTTTCCTCCTCTTCTGAGGAACCCTGGGGTCCCTTGGGGAGGCTGAGTCCTGCTGTCTGTGTGGGTAGAAGGCGGTCTGCTGAGTCACCCTCCCAGGGCGGCTCCCACCACCTTGCTCTGCTCCTGGAAACCGTGTGCTGGGTGTGCACATGGCCCAGCCCTCACGTGAAGGCCCCTGGCACCAGACAAAGGGATGCATAGAGCCAGGGTCTCTTTTCCCCCTCATCACTGCCCCATACTTACTCTGTTTGTTTTCTGACCCTTGCAGGGAGTCTTTTACAGTTTAGGGTGACCTGGGGCTCACTGTGTAGTTGATGGTGACCTTGAACTTCTGGCCCTCTTACCTACACCTCTGGAGGGCACAGCACCACACCCTGAGCTACCTACTTCTGACCCAGGAGCAGGGCAGAGGCACCTGGAGCAGGGCAGACTCTGGCTTCCACAGGGTAATGGCTGTTAGAGGTGCAAGAAAGGAAACCGCAGCCTACAAGGGTGCGGGGGCTCATCCAAGGTCCCTGGGCAGAAAAGCCGGGGACTTCCCGAGCTAAGTGATGGTGATGGGGACAGGAAATCAGCAGGAGAAAGCTCCGGGAAGCAGAGGTCCCACCTCCTGCTCGAAACTCCCCTAATGCTAAGACAGGACGCCAAGCCTGCCAGGCGTCATCCTTCATTAATATGATATGACTTCCTGAGTTCCCTCTGGTCTGCCTGGGAACCAGAGACCATGACAGGGACCACATGGCCTCCCCCACCCCCGGCAGGCTCCTCACTCCCCAGAGTAGGGATGGGTGGTCCTTTGGGGATCCCAGAGCAGCTGGAACTGGGGATCCATCCTGTCGGAAACCAGGGATGCCAGCTGGGTGGCAGCTGGACACAGATGATAGGAAGATGTGGTCATGGGGGCAGGGGGGACAGAGAGGGCAAGGCAACAGCTGCCTGCTGTCCAGCCCTAGTGTCAGGGACACTGCTGCCCTTGAACATGAAACACCTCTGCACGGACCTTTGTCCTGCTCCAAGGCAGGCCTGGAGTGGGTGGAATGCTGGACACAGTCACACACCCAGGAGGCTGCTGGGACCCGGATCATGGAAGAGGAGACTCGGGTTAACCAACTCTCTGCCCTTGCCAAGGACTATCATGCATCAGGAAGGTGGTCACATTGGTACAGAAATGAAAGTCAAAGGGCTGTGTAAGCTCTTCACTAAAACTGTCTCCCTGAAAAACGAGGCTGTCACAGCTGGGTGTGTGCAGGGGCTCAGAGTTTGAATGCTAGCACACTGGGGACGGCAGCAAGAGAATTGTTGAGAAAGTTTGAGGCTAGCCTGGAACGGATAGTGAGACCTTGCGTCACACAAACAAATAAAAACAAAACAAAGCTTGCTGGGCTTTGGTGCCAAACAGATACCTGAGGTTGATCCCGGGATCAACATGGCAGAGAGAGAAAACTGGCTCTGGCAAATTGTTCTCTGACCTTAAGGCCCCCTCTGGCCCTCATCAACTGTGAGAAAGCAGGAACTATGGAGTCAGTGAGAAGGTCCCATAACAACTGCGCTGACACACTGATTTGAGAGGAGGTATTCTGAGGGAGCCTTGTGTGGGGGAGCAATGCTGGAGCCCGAGATGGCTATCCATCACCAAAGTGTTTTTGTTGGAGGTCAATGTCATCAGTGATTGGCCTAGGGCCTGGAAGTGCTATGCTGAGATGCAAGAGTTCAGCCTTTAATGGTGGGTCATCAAAGCCCTGTAAACTGGAGACCACAGATGGACTGTGTGTCCTGACACAGGACTCTGAGATCCTAGTCTAGGAGCTCAGGGATGAAGTCTGGCCAGGCTACCTCCTTCCTTAACTCCTGGAAGGAGTGAATTGTGTCCAGGGACCAGGGTTCTCCGGGGTGTCTGGAAAACACTACATCATGGAGGAATTTCCTCATCATTTCTCAATCCCAGGGCCAGGCCCTAACCCCAGGGCCTGAAGCCCAGAATAGCTTTCAGAGGCCACGGCACAGACAGGTCAGGCTGCAGCCAGGCTGGAGAACCACTCAGCGCTAGGGCCTGCCTGGCCCGCCTTGTGAATTTTGAATCTGGGTGACATGAACAGGGACTTAGATATGAACGGAGTGGTGGAGGGAAGACAGTGAGAGAGAGAGGCAGACAGAAAGAGACAGGGAGAGAGAGACAGAACAGAAACAGAGAGACAGAGAAACAGAGAGAAAGAGACAAAGAGAGACAGAGAGAGAAACAGACAGAAAGACAGAGACAGAACAGAAACAGAGAGACAGAAACACACAGAGAGAGATGGACAGACAGAGACACACAGAGAGGAACAGAGAAACGGATGAGGTGCTGGGGTAGACAGCATAGAGGCTGAGGGTGGGGTAGTGGTAGTGGGTGGTTGTGCCGGGGACTGTGAGGAGGGGTCGGAGGGGAGGCAGAGGCAAGCAATGGATGCTCAGAGCAGTGGATGGGGTACAGGCCGGGGAAAGCAGGCACGGAGCCCAAGGGGACCTCTAGAGACCAGCTCAGGGGGAGGAAGGCGGGGCAGAGAGGAAATGAAAAAAGCTGGGGCGAGTAGGCAAGATGAGGAGGGAGGGCGGGCCCTCCGAGGGAGAAGCTGACAGAAACCTACACAGACCCGCAGACAGGGACAGGACACACAAAAGGCAGAGGTGCCGAGGGGTCCAGAGAGCAGAAATGTAAAGGAGGTGGCAGAGAACCCCAGAGGAAGGGACTGAGGACAGTGGGCACTGGAGGCACAAGGGGACAAGGAAAGAGACATCAAGAGAAGGGAAGAAACACGAGAGTGACAGACACTAGAGAAGACACAAACAAACAAGAGAAAGAAGCACACACCGGGAAGTGACGGAGGTCCCAGCTGCTGTGAGGGCCTTGGCCAGCGGTGGACAACCTGGTGGCCCCCTTCCCACCCCTGGGAGCCTTCTCGTGTAGGGTGGCCGGGAGCGGCAGGGCATGGCTGACTCTTGCCGGAACCTCACCTACGTGCGAGACTCGGTAGGACCTGCCACCAGCACCCTGATGTTCGTGGCTGGTGTGGTGGGCAATGGGCTGGCACTGGGCATCCTGGGTGTGCGACGGAGGTCACACCCATCGGCCTTTGCCGTGCTGGTCACTGGGCTGGCGGTGACAGATCTGCTGGGCACGTGCTTCCTGAGCCCTGCGGTGTTCGTGGCCTATGCTCGAAACAGCTCGCTGCTGGGCCTGGCCCACGGTGGGTCAGCGCTGTGTGACACTTTCGCCTTTGCCATGACTTTCTTTGGCCTGGCCTCCACACTCATCCTCTTTGCCATGGCTGTGGAGCGATGCCTGGCACTCAGCCACCCCTACCTGTACGCCCAGCTGGACGGGCCGCGCTGCGCGCGCCTGGCCTTGCCTGCCATCTATGCTTTCTGTTGTCTCTTCTGCTCGTTGCCCCTTCTGGGCCTGGGTGAGCATCAGCAGTACTGCCCCGGGAGCTGGTGCTTCATCCGTATGCGTTCCACCCAGCCTGGTGGCTGTGCCTTCTCCCTGGCCTACGCCAGCCTCGTGGCCCTGCTGGTGACCTCCATCGTCTTCTGCAATGGCTCCGTCACCCTCAGCCTCTGTCACATGTACCGACAACAGAGGCGCCACCATGGCTCGGCAGTGCCCACCTCTCGGGCACGAGAGGATGAGGTCGACCACCTGATTCTGCTGGCCCTGATGACCGTCATCATGGCCGTGTGCTCCCTGCCTCTCACGGTGAGTGTCCCTTGGAGCTGAGGTGCAGGGGGAGGGGAGGAAGGCAGCACCCCGCTCTGCTCTCTATCCAGCATGCTCATTTGGGCAGATGTAGAAATTGAGGCTCAGAAAGGGTCAGACAGTGACTCTGTCTTCCATCTAACAACTCTTGACAACCCTAAGAAGTCTCTCCACTTTCTTTTGCTCCACTAGATGCCCTCCAGCCCTTAGTTGTCCCCTGTCAACACCTCTCCACCCAGCTGCCCAATCAAACACACCGTTGTGATGATAACAGCGTCCACAATTCACAAACACTCGATTTCTGCTGACACAAAGCATAATGGCTTCCAAATGCCTCTTCAGATGAATTTCAAATTAGCTTTACACAATCATCTTAGAAGCACTGGGCAGGAAATGACCCTAAGGTCCCATCCTGTCACCCTCTCCACAGGAGGATGATAGTGCCTGTTTTCCACGCTCACACAGGCTGAGTCTCTGTCTGGGCTCTCTCATCCCGGAGCCTGGCAGTATAACCCACGAGCACCCCACTCACTCCCAGAGCCTGGGCCCCACCCTGCCTTCCCTCCCCTCCCAGCCTCCCACTCTCAGTCCTCCCACAGGGACCTTTGAGCTGTCCTTCCCACTATAGCAGCCTGTGAGGCTGGCGCCCTCCAGCCACACCTTTGTGCTGGGTGCGTGGGATGGATTTTGGGGTGTTTAAGCCTCCTGAGGGTTACCAGTGGCTGACAAACCTACCTCCGAGGGTGGCTCCACATGAGGTTTTGGGAGCCTCAGAGGGCTCAGGCATCTTCGGGGGGAGGCGGGGGAGGGGACGGGGAAGGTCCCTCAGCTGCAAAGGGTCAGTCTGGTGGGTGGCTGCCCACCTCTCCACTCTGTCTTCCCTCTGCCAGCCATTTGCTGTCTCCTGAGACTTTCCTGTCCTCTGCTCCCCGGATGCATGTGCATGTCAGCAACTCAGCCTACATCTTTCTTCATCTTATCTCATTTCCTTCCCCTCCAACCTGCCACAACTCTTTATCCCTGTGGGTAGGAAGTTCAAGATGGGGGTGTAGGGTCGGGGGAGGACAAACCTGCGATGCATCTGACATCCGCCCTGCCCCTCAGATCCGAGGCTTCACCCAGGCTATCGTCCCGGACAGCAGTGAGATGGGGGACCTCCTTGCCTTCCGCTTCAATGCCTTCAACCCCATCCTGGACCCCTGGGTCTTCATCCTTTTCCGCAAGGCTGTCTTCCAGCGTCTCAAGCTCTGGTTATGTTGCCTGTGTGCCCGTTCTGTCCAGGGGGACTTGCAGATGCCCCTTTCCCAGGCCTCATCGGGGAGAAGAGACCCACAGGTCCCCACTACTCTCCAAGCTAAGGACGGGAACTGGGTGCCCCTGTCATCCTGGGGCACTGGGCAGGTGGCACCATTGACTGCTGGGCCTCTGTCTGGTGGTAACAGCTGCTCTGTGGGAATGCCATCCAAAACGGAGACCATGGTTGCCTGCTCCCTTTGCTGATATCTAAGCTGGTCTGCATGCCACCCTGGGCCCATTGATGCAGAACCAGAAGGCAGGTCAGGGATTCAGCCGATAATGGTGGAAGCCACATATTTGACCCCTAAAGTCTGGGGGTGTCTGCTGCTGTTTCTCCTCCCAAGGTGGTTATGGGCCTTGGGAAGAGAATAAGGGACGCCGAAGTTTCTGTGGCTCTCAAGAAGGATTCTCTCAAAATAACCAGGGCCTGGCCTAGCTGCTCTGTCCCTAGGATCCTCCATCCATCTCGCTGTCTAAATATTTAGGGAGCAGAAAAATTCCCAGCAGCTTCTGTGGAAGTGAGTCTGCTGGGGTTAGTGTGTCTGCTCTCCTCTTTCACTGAGGCGGGCCTTGGCTGCCCACCCCAGGTCCCCAGGGGACACAGCCATGCCCTCTCCCAAGCCATTCCAGCAACTTCTCTCAGAAACGTTCCCCCCCCCATGCTTCCCATCCCCCACCTGACGTCGGGGGGGGTGGGGTGTCCTGAATCCCAAAAGGAATCGGGAAGAAGGAAAGGCCACTGGACTGCAGGTGACGCTGCGGGACACGTGTCTGGCACAGAAACGGCCACAGCTTGGAATTGTGCTATGAGGATTTGGTGGGAGGATACAGGGACAAAACAGAGATGGTGGTGATGTAGCAGGCAGGGTCCCAAAGACTTCATAGGAATACCGGTGCACGTCCCCAGCCTGCCCCCTCTCCCCACCCTCCATTCTGGAACAAATAACTGCCTCCTTTTAGAACTGGACTTCAACATGTTTGGAATCTTTACAAAGATTCCACTCACTCATCCATCCATCCATCCATCCACCCATTCAACAAACTCCCAGGGGACCCTGAAGTCAGCAGGTCTGCCTGCCTGGGACTGGGGATACAGACAAGTCCCCGGCCTCCGAGGAAAGAATCCGGGGCGCTTGGGAATGAGTTGGCCGGTGCATGAAGGGAAGTGAGTCAGCTGGAGAGCTGGGCCAGGGGAGGGTCAACAGATGCTACTCACTTCTGCCCTGGTTCCTGTTTCACATCCACTCTGGTTGTCCTCCTGTCTGCTTGGCAGCATATTAACAGAGCCTTTCCAGAGAGGGTAATCCCCCAGTCTGGGTCACACAGCGAAAATGTGGAGTAGGTCTGTATGTTACCCTCTCTCATGGCCTCTCTCTGTACCTCAGTGAGGATTAAATGACCCACTCCCAAAAGAGCAACTTAGCACAGGACCTGAGAGGGCGCCACAGTGGGGGTTACTGCTCTTGCTGTCAATATCGTTGTCTCGGCAAACATTGATTAGGAAGCAAAGCAAGGATTTCTTTTGGCTCTTTTTCCACCCAATAAATATATTTCAGATCACATTAAGGAAGGGTAAGGAGTGTCAAGAGAGGTGAAAACAGGCTGAGGTAAGCCGGGCATGGCGATGTTTGCCTGCAACTCCAACACTATGCTCAGGCAAGAGGATTGGGGTTCAGGGTCACCCAAGTACTACATAGAGAGTTCAAGGTCAGCATGGGGCATTTTAGACTTCAAAACCAAATGACAACAGATAAGTCCACAAAACAAACCAGGATGAGGTGACCAGTAAGCAGGTACTGGAGACTATTGTTTGGTGACAGTTGCTGGCAGCGTAAATGGGCCAAATACCACTGAATGTGTAATAGTCTGTGAATGGAAAATGGTTAAAATGGTACTTTTTATTTACGGGTATTTTACCACAATAAAAAAAAAAATGTGATGCTGACAAATGAAAGCTTCTAGAAACTTCTGTGTTATTTTTTAAAAAGGTGTGTGTGCGTGTGTGTGTGTGTGTGTGTGTGTGTCTGCCTCTCTCCTCTGTCTCTTCTCTGCCTGTCCCTGTCCTCTGTGCGCATGTCTCTCTGTGTCTGTCTCCCTCACCCATGTGTGTGTGAGCACACACACCCATGTGTGCACGCATCTTTGCATGTCCGGAAGCCAGAAGTGGGGACTGAATCCCTTCGGGCTAGAGTTATAGGTCCTTTGGGATATCCAGCTTGCTATGTGGGTGCGGGGATCTGGACCTCATTCCAGACCACCTTTAAGTTTTTAGACAGGGTCTCATATAGCCCAGGCAAGCCTGGAACATGTCGTATATAGGGGATAATCTTGAATCTCTGATCCTCCTACTTCTACCTCCCTAGACTGGGATTAGAGGTGGGGACTACCACGCCTGGTTTCATGTCAACCCCAGAAGAGTAAAAGTATATTAGATGAAGTTACTAATGAAGTCAGCGAGACGTGGTGGCTTACGCCCATAACCTCAGTGCTGGACTGGCTGAGGCAGGATGGAGAGTGTGAGGCTAGTCTAGACTACCCAAGAAGGCTCTCTCTAACACAAACAAAGGGGCAGAGCGTGGCGGGGCACACTTGTCGTCTCTCCACTTTGCAGGGAGAGGTTAGAAGGTTCAAGCTGACCCACAGCCACAGAGAGTTTAAGGGCAGCTCTGGCTTAGAAAATGTTGTCCAGTGGTCAGAACTTGGCTAGCTAGGGCCCTGGGCTCGATATTCAATGTTCTGTACTGGGGCAGGCCCGAGGGCAGGGATTTTCCTGCTCAGGGGTGGAACACCCATTTCATGAGGGTTAGCCTTTAGAGCCAAGCCCTAACACCCCAGAAAATGGAAAACTTCGCCTCCTCCTTGACCTCTTTCTGACACCTCTTTTGGTCCCATGATGGCAGCCTGCCAGAATATACATACTCATGTCTGGCCTCTCACCCACTGTGAGGTATCCTTTGTGTTTTGGGGGACATGTTATTGACAGATACAACCCTGGTTCTGCTCTCCTGGGGCATTAACTGAGGAGGACAGCCCTGTGTTCAAGTGGGCGTGGCTCAGGGAGGGGAGACCGGAGAGGCCTTCTTGGAGGTGGTGGCTGCACAGGGCCAGGAATTTAGGAAGTAATCCAGCTGAGTAGCAGGGAGTGTTTCTGTTGTGTTTTATTTCTGACTCTGGCATCCAACACCTCACTGGTTTCCCGGGCCTCTCATGTGTTACTAATTCATCCTACTTTCCCTTGGGCCTGCTATGGGCTGGAGGTTACTCAGGGTCTGATGGAGCAGTAAGTGAGACAGCCTCGGCCCTGCTTGGCTCACATTCCAGTGGGACAATCACTGAATAATCACATCAATATGTATTATAGGAAACATCCCTGTGAAATTACAACTTGGGCTGAGGAAAGATAGGGCATGTGAGGAAAAGTCCCAGAAGCCTGCCCCAGTCTGGTGGTAACCAAGAATGGGCTGCCAAGAGAGTGGGTCCGTCTCCACCAGGGAGACTTCACTCATTTACAAGATGAAGACACTCCCTCACCCTTTCTTACTCTGCTGACCCCTTCTTCAAAATTAATTCTCCTCCCACTCTCATGTGTTTTGCCTTAATTCTAAAACCTTCTTGTTCTTTACAAGTCTTTTACATTATTTGTGTGTGCACATGGAAGCAAGAAGACAGCTTTCAGGAGCCGGTTCTCTCTCCACTGTGAGATCTGGGAATCGAAGGTAGGCTTCAGGCTCGGTGCAAGCACCTTTGTCTGCTGAGCCATCTCACCAGCCTGCTTACTCACTTTCTTCCTAGTGCTAGACTGACACACACACAAGAGCTGGCTGTGTGACAAATGCCTTTCATCTCTGCACTTGGAAGGCTGAGGAAGGATTGCCTGAAGTTGGAGGCCAGCCTAAGAACATAGCATGACCCCAACTCAAGAAAAGCACAGGCAGGTTGGGAATATGACTCAGCTGGTAAAGTTGCTGACTCAGCATGCTCAAATCTCTGGGCTCCATCTCCAGCACCGTATGAATCTGGGTGTGGTGGTGAGGGTTTGAAAGCACAGCACACAGGAGCATCAGAAGTTCAAGTTGGTAGTGGCGCAAGCCTTTAATCCCAGCACTCAAGAGCCAGAGGCAGAGGCAGGCAGATCTCTGTGAGTTCAAGGCCAGCCTGGTCTACAGAGTGAGTTCCAGGGCAGTCAGGACCAGACAGAGAAACCCTGTCTCGAAAAACCCAAAAACAGGAACAAAAAAGTCCGTCATCCTCAGTTGCAGAGCGAGTTCCAAGCCAGCCTGGGCTACTTGAGACCCTCTCTCAAACCAAATTAAAGAAAAAGTAACAGATCACTATGTGTTCTAGGGCCATGACTCGGCGGGAGGCTTGCCTCCTACGTGCATGACTATGGGTTCCATCGCCATGACAGAAAAGCAAAGTTAAACACAACAGGTTGCATGAAGTGGCTGTGACCTGGTGGGAGTAACGCGGCGCCCCAGAACCTACAGGAGAAATGACTAAAGGTCTTGAAGGACAAAAGTTAGACCTTTCTAGGAATGTGGTGGACAGGTGGCTGTGCAGACAGACACCACTACCTCATTAGCATTTTATTGTCATGGATGTATTGTAAAGACAGTACACATCAGGAACATTAGCAGGGCCCGTTTGCCGAGGGAGCCAATGAGGTTAAACAGCTATCCCTCGAAAAAGTGAACATGTGCTTCACCTAAAGCCAGCCACACTACCCATCTCCCAACTGCACTGAACTGCAGATGGCCTAGAGCTTCCTAGCTTGCTAAACTAAGTTATAATGAACAGTTAAACAATACTAATACGCACCAGTCCCTGAGCGGCAGGCCCTTTGTTCTCATGGCTCCATCTGCTGGTCACGCTGAGAATGTCACTTACAAGGGGCCTCAGCTTACTTCAAGGGCTGCCCTCAACTCCGAGAAGTGAGGGGACCCGCCTGGCACACTGGCCAGGTTCTGGTTGGCCTAGATCTGGGAGCCTTACGTGGACAGGACTCCCCCACAGACACTGCAATGGCCTTGGGCTCTAGCTGCCAGCCCTTACTGCTCACCCGGACAGTTAGAGGCTGAGTGTTGTGCATGTCTTCAGGGTGGCGATTATTTAATAATTTGGCCTGTCTGCAGGTAATAAGTCTTCCTGAACATCACTAAGGATCAAGAACCACACAGGTGGTGGGGTCTGGGGCAGGGCATGCTGTGGCTAACTGCTTGGCATCTGGGAGGGGAGAGCTTGATTATGCACCACTTCCAAGCAGTGGGAGGCTTTATCTGCTTGAACTTCCTGTCTCCAAAAACAAGTCTACAGCTCATGCGCCTAAGCCAGGGCCCACAAGTAGGGTGGGCCACCTAGCCTGGGTGGGAATGGAAACACGTGGTGGTACAAGTCAAGAGTTTATATTTCAGTGTTTTCCGTTTCAGTACACTGGGGCCCAGAAGTAGGAGGCAGCCCCGTCTATGTTGCATGAGTGCTGTCAGCAGGTTGCTCGCCTGCCCTGCTTTGAAGCAGCCTCTCAAGCAACTCCAGATTCCACCATCCCATCTCACCACTGCGACCTGGGACCACAGCAGTTGACTTAGGTAGCTTCTGGGGACTGAACGCGTGGGGCTGTTAGGCTTTTATTTGCTGAGCCATCTTTCTGGCCCCAAAAGGAGCCTCTATCTAAAGCCCAGCCCTTAAAATTCAGAGTGGTGAGGAAGATCTGCAGCAGGGAGCCCTCCCACCCCCTTTCTCACATACCCCCAAGCAAACTGGGAAGCCTTCTCTCACCACAGCCTCACAGAGACTGGGTCTCTCTGAAGCCCAGGATGGCCTCCAACTCAGGTTGCTTGCCTGTGCTGGGGACTGTCACTACAGCCACTTGATTTTACCCTACTGCACTCCTCAGCGGTGCCGTCAGTGCCGCCCGGGCTGACGAGGCTGTGAGGTTCCCCCAGCCTCGCTGCTTTTCGGCCCCTCATGTCCTGTTCTGCCAGTGTGTCCGTGGTTCCTCTGGCTGTAGTAGCCTTCCTTCCCCTGGGGTCGGGGGCCTCTAGGTGCTTTTTTGGTGATGGAGCTGTCTTTGCAGTCCTCATACACACCCCCAGGCTGCAGGGCCAGGGTAGCACTTTGCCCTCGGCAACCTGTCCACAGAGGAAGGCTGAGGACAGAAGGAAGAGTCCAGACAGGTAGTCACTGTATTTTATTGGAAAACATTGATATATATTTTTCTTCACAGCTTGAACTGAACACAATATTGCCCGGTTTAAAAAAAAAAAAAAAGAAAAAAAGAAAAAGAAAAAAAATAAAAAAAAAAAATAAAAACAAAAAACCCGAAACATTCGGCAAAGTCCATAGCCTCACGCCTACCTGCCCTTGCCCTCAACTCTTGGCTGGGTCTCCTGATAGGTCTGTCCCTCCCTCCCTCGAGGCTGGTGCCAAGGGGTGGAGAAGAGAGTCTCAAAGCTGGGCAGGTCCCAGCAAAAGCAACGTGATTGCCCTGGGGGGCCAGATGAGAACAGAGAAAGAAAACGAACCCAGACTGAACTGCCCACATTGACTGACATGTCCCAGAGGCTAGAGTCAGAAGCAAGGGCACGCGGATCATGCTCTCCGCTAAGTGGGGCAGGCAGGGTGAGGGCAGAGGCGGGCAGAAAGCGATGCCAAGTCACCACGACGGGGCAGGAGGTGCCCACTGCGTGCTCTGTGTGGCGGCCCATAGAAGTGTTTTTTATTGCAGGTTGGTTCTTATGAGCATGGTGGGGCTCGTCTCCCCTCTCCCCACCCTTTACTTGGCCCAGCATGTTTGGGACAAAAAAAAAAAAAAAAAAAAATCAAAGTTTTAAGGGGCATACAGGGGAAGAAAAAAAGAAAAAAAAAGATCACCAGCACATTACACAGCGACCATCCCCCACACCCATTCCTGGACCAGCCCTGAACTGCGCAGGTGGCTG